GATATGCGCCTCACATGGTCGATGATGAATATAGGAAGGCTAGGAAGTTTGAAAGTGGACTACGTGGACCAATCCAGGACCGAGTCAACATGCTCAATATGCCGACCTACGCCGGAGTGTTGGACAAGGCCATCCTGGCAGAGGCTAACCTAAACCGATACCAGAACTCAGGAGAAAATCAGAAGAAGAGACAGAACTATGATAATCGCCGAGTTCCGTTTAACGCTAAGAAGAAAGCGAACGCGGGCAGCTCTAGCAACTCGAACCAGGAAAGTAGCGCTAAGCCGACGTGTGCAAGTTGTGGGAAGCCGCATTCCGGAGTTTGCCATTGGTGTTGCATTAGGCAATTTGACATGAACTAGGATCACGCATGTTTGCTAACTAGTTTATTGTTTTGGCACGGAGTACGATGTAAGTATTTATGCTTTAGCATCATCGCATGCGTGTGAGTGCTATCATGACAGTATGCTTGCCATGCGGCTAAATGCTTATGTGATAAAATTGTTTGAATGCCTGTGGGTGAAGGTTGGATTGTTTGAGTTGGAAAAACTCATTGAAATCCGTGTTTTAGCCTACTTGCGAGTAGCAAATTCCAAAGCGCTTTTCAAAACAAACGGATACGCAATGCTTGTTTCCAAATTAGGCAATCTAGTCTATACTTGTTTGCCGTGCGCATAAACATAGTAATTCTAGGCTAATAATCGGGATAAGAACCCATAACGTTTTTAAAATCGGATATCATGGTTAGTAGAGGCCGGTCTTCGGACCGGACGAAAGGGGGCGCTCATAGCTGACCTTCCCCGATCGTACCCAAGCTCCCGAGCCGAGACAACTCTGGTGATGACGGACATGTGGCCTTCGGCACCGAGTCAGGGTTTCCTAAATTCCCTCATTTTAAAATATTTAGGTGGCGACTCTGTATCTGGCAAAGCAGTCCATGTTTGGCACTTCTTTTAAAAATCTGTTTCTCAAAACGATTTGCCGGATTTGGACTCTTTGGTTTAGATTAAGAACCGTGACACAAATCGAGTCCGAACTGTAGCGAGGGCCCCATGCGGGCGCGTCTACAGCGGGCGGGGGTGCTCACGAAGTGACCTTCCCCAATCGTACCCAAGTTCCCGAGCCGAGGCAACTTTGGTGATGACGGACATGTGGCCATAGGCAAAGAGTCAGGGTTTCCTAAATTTCCCAAAATAAAATATTTAGGTGGCGACTCTGTATCTGCCAAAGCAGTCCATGTTTGGCACTTCTTTCAAAAAAATCTATTTTCAAAAACGATTTGCCGGATTTGGACTCTTTGATGATTCATCGGTCTTGCATTGCACTCCGCGAGATTAGATACAGGACTGTGACACAAATTGAGTCCGAACTGTAGCGAGGCCCGAGGGCGCGTCTACAAGCGTTTGACTGTGTATCCCAACCTGAGTGTGAGATACCGATACCATCTATTTGTGTCGGAGTCTTGCCGAGTGGAAGTACTCCGAGAGTTTCACCATTCGCGCCTTGCGGTGCATCTTGGAGGCACTAAGATGTATCGTGATCTGGGTCGCCAGTTTTGGTGGCGGGATATGAAGAGAGTGTGGCAGTTTTTGTGTCTAAGTGCCTTACTTGTCAGCAAGTGAAGGCCGAACATCAGAGACCAGCGGGTTTGTTGCAACCCTTGCCTATTGCCGAGTGGAAGTGGGAGCATGTCACTATGGACTTCGTTGTAGGTCTTCCGAGGACTCAGCGGGGTAGTGATGCTATTTGGGTGGTTGTAGACCGGTTGACTAAGTCGGCGCACTTCATTCCTATGCGCATGAGAGATTCGGTAGATCATCTTGCCGAATTGTATATTCGGGACATAGTGAGGTTGCACAAGGTCCCAGTGACAATCGTCTCATATAGAGATCCGCGTTTCACTGTTAGGTTGTGGCAGAGTTTACAGAGTGCCTTGGGCACTAGATTGACCTTTAGCACGACTTATCACCCTCAGACTGACAGGCAGTCCAAGCGTACTATTCAGATCCTTGAGGATATGCTTCGAGGTTGTGTCCTTGCTTTAGTGGGTCGTGGGAGAGGCACTTGCCCTTGGTGGATTTGCCTACAACAACAGTTTTCAATCCATTATTGGTATGGCACCGTTTGAGGCCTTGTATGGCCGACCGTGTAGGTCTCCAGTTTGTTGGGCCGAGGTGGGTGATGCACCTTTGTTGGGCTCGGAGTTGGTGAGGGAAACGACGGAGAAAGTTGAGCTTATCCGTAGGAGGCTTGTTACAACCCAGAGTCGCCAAAAGAGTTATGTCGACCGTAGGAGAAGGCCTTTGGCATTTGAGGCGGGTGATCATGTCTTTCTGAAAATATCACCTAGGCGAGGTTTGATGAGGTTTGGGAAGAGTGGGAAGTTGTCCTCTCGGTTTATAGGCCCTTTTGAGATCCTTGAGAGGATTGGTGAGGTCGCTTATCGTTTAGCTTTACCGCCGCAGTTGTCCGGTGTCATGACCCGAACCCGCCCCTGTGGGTTAAGGACATAACCGGCCAGTAATCATGAGATTACCTATGGCCTCAAACCAAACCTAACGTATTTTAACAGAGTTAATGGGGGCCAAACGGAAGCAATTTAAAACTTTGTCCATAGAGCTGTGCTTACATGGCACATCATAACAAACCATACATATGTATATTAATAACTCACAACAAAATATGTACTACATAAGGTTCTGTACTTACAGGATCATATAAGTCTAAGTCAACCCATCACGACTATATACAACAGATGCAAAGTCTTCGCCAACATAACAGAACATAAATACAAAACAAAATGGCGAAGACGGGTCTCGTGCGTGAGACACAAGGGCTGACTCTCCCAAAACCTTTGTTGTTCCACATAGATTTCACTGGGGCTGGGTTTGGACTTCCCTTGGCTCACCTACAAACACACGAATGAGCGTGAGCGAAAGCCCAGTGAACAATATCAATTAAAGAAGCTATACAGATGATATGTAGAACAACATGCTTCAAACGGCCTTAGGCTCAATTCATATTTCTATTTAACATATATATACACAATTTAGGTCAAGTGACTGCAGTTCCAAACAAACTAACCTTTGGCCCATTCAAACTTTCATTTGTGTCAAAACGGCCTTTGGCCCATTCAGATGACAAAATGGCCTTTGGCCCATTCACTCGTTCATGTCAAAACAGCCTCTGGCCCATTCATTCATGTCAAAACGGCCTCCGGCCCATTCATTCCTATCAAAACGGCCTCTGGCCCATCCATTCATGTCAAAACGGCCTCCGGCCCATTCATTCATGTCAAAACGGCCTCTGGCCCATTCATTCTATTATTCAGATCAGACTGGCCTCTGGCCCACTCA